GACCAATGTACAGCAGCTCTGAACCCTGCCCTGTCCTGAGCCAGTCTCACTAATTCTGACACACCAACCTCCATCGCCCCAGTAACTGTATCAATCCATCTCATCCAGAGTCTTCCTCTTCTGTGCTGTCCCTCCATCCTTCCAATAATGATGTCCTTCTCCAAGGACTGGTTTCTCCTGGCCACGAGTCCAAAGTATGTGAGACAGAGCTTCAAAATCCTAGCCTCCAAGGAGAAACTTGGTTTTACCCTCTCCAAGACAGACCTATTTGTTTTCCTGGCAGTCCACGGATGTTCAAGACTCTTCGTCAACACCACAACTCGCAGGCATCAATTCTTGTTCTGTCATCATTAGTCACTGTCCATCTCTATGAAGCATAACAAGTAATTGTAAAGAACAGGGCCTGGATTAGGCACACCTTTGTCTCTAGACTGACATTGTTGCTTTTCAGCACTCTGGAGAGGTCCCTGCTTTTCCCAATGCAATTTGTCTTTTGATTTTCTGACTGCTGGTGTTAAAGAGTGTTGGTTATAGAGCTGAGCAAGCTATAACTGTTAACCTCAATCTCTTCTCCATCTATTAAGGTGTTGCCAATTGGCCCAGTGGTGAGAATTTGCGCCTTTTATACATATATATATAAATATAAATATATATATATATATATATCTCATATTTAAGTAGCGATATCCAGCAGAAAGTCTAGAAATTTCAAGAATACTAAAATTATAAACATGTGTATAATAAGAAAAACATCTATGCATTTTATAGAATTAAAAAGTACTAACAATGAGGGAGTTTTTCTTTTGCTTTTCAAGGAGAGGAGCAAACGGGGAGGGGGGAGGGGTTTGTGCGGGGAGAAGGGTGCAACAATGAATGAATGGAATTCCAAAATCTCTGTAGATGTTCACTGAAATGAAAAATAAACAACCTAAATTTAAAAAAAAAATTACTACTAAAAAAAAAAAAAGTACTAGCAATGTACATACCCCCTGCATTGGTGCTCCAGGGACCATGGCCATGTTTGTACATATTTCTTCTTCATTTAAACTCAGACCCATGTACTGTGAGAGCTCTGGATATAGTTTAGGGTATAAATCTACGATAAAAGAGTGGGAGAGTGAATAAAAGCACTGACAGAATATTGAAAACAACTGTTACTATGGCTTTCTACTTGTGTTGAAAATATTGGCATTTAATTTAAAAAATCTAGGATGAACTGAAAGTTGCAATTTGAAAGAACATCCCTAGAATGACAATTTAAAATACAGATAAAATTTTTCAAGTGAAAAGTTGTTTTATTAAAAAAAAAACACACCAAAAGAAAAGACCTATGAATGGAAATGACCTCAGATTTCTAAATACTTAAGGAAAAATATCAAAACCAAACCTGCCTTTTAGTAGACTGCAAGTCAGAGGACTACAGGACAGAGCAGAACTGCCCACAGGTCTCCAAGGCTGCCATCTTTACAAAAGAACCGTGGCTACACCGGATGCAACATTCCCATGCCATCTGAAGCAATGCTGTCTCAAAGGTTGGTGATTTGATACCACTACACTTAACCATTATGCCAGCAAACCAAAAACACAAACCTATCGCCAAAATCTGACTCACACCAACCATACAACAGGTTTCCAGGGCTATAAATCTTTACGGGAGGAGAATGCCTATCCTTCTCCACACAGAGGCTGTTGGATTCGAACAGAAGGACTTTAGGTTAGGAGGCTGACATATTACCCACTACTGCACTAGGAGTCCTTAGATACTCAAGCACTGAATTATTCCAAGTATATTATTTTGCTTTACTTCTTTCTTAAAAGATATCTACTTAAATATTATGAAGAATACTGCTAATTCTTCAGTTCAGAAAACTAGATTAAAATGTCCCTTGTCAAAGCAACTACTCTATAAATTATGAAAACAAAATCTTTTGGGCTAGTAATAATAAAAAAGTTCATAAATTTAAATGTTGGATCATTTTGAGACTAATAACATCTAATTTAGTAATAGACAATATTTCCAAAGTTTTCACAGGAATTATCTGGAAAAATAGATTTTAAAACAGAAACATTCTTGTAAGTTGCACCAAGACTGGTAAGATGGCAAAGCTTGTGTGTACTAAATCACATTAATAGAACTCTGTTTTGAGTTTTTCTAAATTTTGAAGGTAAAGGGATCAAAGAAAAAGAAAAGACATTTCAAATGTAGAAAGGTTTCAAGAGGTGGTTGATTGGATATTTCAGCTCCTCCTCTACACCCCATGAAAAAAAACAAAAGAAGGAAGACTGACGAGTTCCTTAAGCAACAGCATGATGTAAGCACAAATCTCATCTAAGATTTACTCTTAGGCAAATAAGTCACAGGTCTGAACTTATGAGTCAGGCTCAAATAAATTTTCATTAAACTGTAAAACACATCTTCCTCTTCAGGGTTCACTCTCAATTACATAAAAGTTATTTTTAAAATTAAATTCTCCCCCAATTAATAGTAGAGCCCTTATTTCAGCAAACCAAAGCTTAACAACAAATATTTCTGCCAAAGAATGAAACTAAAGTGTAAACATACTTCCATCTTGTGTGATGGGAGCAGATGCTTCTGACAAAATTGCTGGATTGGCAGGGTTTGCAGAAAAGGCAGCCTGTGCCTGAAAAAGAAAAAAGAAAATCGCTAATGGTTATGCTATACTTAGAGTTATTATCTATTTTCAGTAGAAAATGAAAATTAAAATACTTAAGAGAACTAAAGCACCTAAGTGCTATTCAGGAAAGTTTAATTTCAAACACTTATAATTTTTCCAAAAGATAGCTACAAATAAGAAATTTTACATTTTAATTACTTGAAACAATAATAAAAATACAGTATTTTTAAAACTTCACAGCTCTATTGCTTGTAAATCGATGAAGATTTTCAGAGTAGAACTTCTCATATGATTTCTAAGGCTGTATGTAAATATTTATGGGAGCAAACTGCCTCATCCTCCTCCCTTAGAGGGGCTGCTGGGTTCTAACTAATAACCTTCCAGTTAGTAACCCAACAGTAATTAAATTGCTACCATCTAGTATCAAATATATCAGTAGAATAAATGCTATCTTCATTTTTAACATTTAGCAGAGCATACTGTTATTTTAAAAATAACAAATGAACCAAAACAATTTAAGTGATGAAACTGGCACAGCATCCTCATGAAAATAACATACAGAGACTGCATGGTTGGCAAATCTCTGTTCACCCACACACACTTATTATGTTTGTAAAATATAGTAGGTATTTAGCAGTATTTAGATATTTAATACAATACACACTTATTATGTTTGTAAAATACAGTAGGTATTTTATTTAGCAGTATTTAGATATTTAATACAATACTCATTGGAAGGAGGAATGGCATCCACTTCCGTAATAGCTTGCCTCCAGAAGCCCTATGAACCTGGAGAGAGGATGAAAGGCACCCAAGCGTCAAGGACTCTCCTTCATAGGGTTTCTATGAGTTGCCTGTAACTCAATGGCACTTAACAACAACAACAATACAATACTCAACAACTAACTCAATTCTGTCAAGTTGGAACTCAATGCTCATCTTCTTCCTAGAGCAGCTGGAGAATCTGAACCATATGCCTTTGGGGTGACGGCATGACTATGTACACTTTGGGCAACCAGAACTCCTCCTGTTACAAAAAGCACTTTTATCACTGATATCCAAAGATGATGAACACAATAACATGACTGTTACTTCATGATACTTTAAAGTGACATAACTATGAACTTTAAAAATCCACATTAATGAATAATAGATTTTATTTATCAAATATACCTGGAATGTCTGAGAATTGTACTCAATATTCCGTATTTTATTAAGTATTCCACTGATGGAAATACTTTTGTCTTTGACAGGGAGATTTAATCGTCTAACATTGGCAAATGCCATTCAGAGTACCTGTTAATATGATATAGAACCAATTACATACTATTTTTTATTTAACTGGAATTATGTCCACTAAGTAATGAAATTTGTACTTATATATCTAAACACATGTAGTAGCTCAAACAGAATAAAGCTTAGAAGGAAGCTTTATTTTAACAAATACAAAACTTTGGAGAGTCCTAAATTCAAGTGGATTGTAAATATTGTTACTAATATCTATTCTTTATATTTGTTTTACAATTTATTAGATATTCTAAATAGGAAGTATAGCCCAAACCTACAAATGCAAAAAGTGTACTGGAGTCCTGAATACTTTAATCTATCAAATGGTGACCAGTAGACATTACCTCTTGAATAACTTGGGGAGAAATAAATTGTTTCCTTTTACTTTAGTTTCTTTTTTTCATTCATTTCTGTTTTCCTTGTTGTTGTTGCTGTTATGTGCCGAGTCGTTTGCGACTCATAGCAACCCTATGTACAACAGCCCTAAACCCTGCTCTATCCTGTGCCAATTACATTGCCTCTGGCACACCCATCCCGATTACCCCAGTCACTGAATCAATCCACCTCATAGAGGGTCTTCCCCTCCTGC